ATTTATATTTAATCAAGTGAAACATCAGATTAAAACTAAAGATGAAATTCCAGTTCATATAAAAACATATAAACAGATAACAAATAAAGAAAATGTTAGAAGATGATATAATTAGACATCATGCAGTCCTTGGTCATTCCCAGTTTGGATAGTACCGAAAAAGGAAGATGTCTCCGGTATTCAAAAATGGAGAATAGTGGTAGACTATAGAAAACTTAATGAAAAGACAATCGATGATAGGTATACTTTACCAAACATCACAGATATACTAGACAAATTAGGTCGCAGTAATTACTTTAAAACCTTAGACCTGGCTTCAAGATTTTATAAAGTAGAAATGTATCCTGACTCTATATCAAAAACGGCTTTCAATGTTGAAAATGGTCATTTCGAATTTCGAAGAATGCCATTTGGTTTGAAAAACGCACCAGCAACATTCTAAAGAGCAATGGACAATGTATTGTCTGGAATACAAAATAAAATATGCTTGGTATATATAGATGACATAATTATATTTTCAAAATCTCTACACCAACATATTGAAAACCTAGAAAAAGTCTTTGAAAGATTAGATTAATATAATCTAAAAATTCAATTAGAAAAGTTTATTAAAAATGTAAACGCATAATGGGAAATATTTCCTTGCAGGTGTTGTTTATCCAGAAACCTCTTAGTAAACGTTAAGCGGCGTTTCCATATGCATAGTTTATTGGCGTTAGTCGACTGGCGCAATTTTTCTGGCGCGTGGAAACTCGGAAAATTAACTGGCGCCAGTTTACTGGTGCCACTTATCTATGCGCCAGGGGGTCAATTTTTGACCGTTCGCAAATATAGAAACGTATGTAGATTGTTCCTAAATCTGCGAACAATCACAAGTTCCGATTTTTGGCCGTTCGCAAAGTTTCGTATGCGCATATTTTCATTCGCTTTTCTGCGAGCGGTATTCTAGTCGCCTAATTCGGTTTGCGTATTCGTTTTTCTTGTGTCAAGTGGGGATGTTAGGTTGTTTTTTCTTGTCAATTTGTTTGATAGCTTTTATTATTGAATTATTGTGTATCTACTACCTCTGTATCTGGGAGAGTGGTATATAAGGTATGCTACAGCACTTAGGCCACAATTTTGCCCATTGTGCGCCTCCACACTCCACAAGAGGAGAGGTCATCATTAGCTCGTCACCCAGCCTAGCGATTCTACGTAGGCGATGACGTCGCTGAAGGCGGTGCCTCAGATCTCTTCTAGTGATTGGTACGATTGGCCTAATCTGGCTCTGAGTATTGGCGAAAGATCAGTGCAGTCACAGAGAATGTGCTCTATCGTCTTGTCTTCTTGATTACAAGGTGTATCGACTATAATATGGAAATTTTGATAAATGTGCTGGCAATTCATTATTTGGAAAATGCAGAGATACGAAATCGACGCAACCATCGACATAACCGCCGTGATCCATTCGTAGCTAAACCAAAGGGCCTATTTCTCAATAGCGAGTCACCTCCAGGTTGGTTTTAACTCTAGGTTAAACGTGTCCAGTTGCAATGTTTACCCTGGAGTTATGCTTAACCCGGGGATGACTTGCTATTGAGAAACCGGCCCAAAGACAGTTTATTAAAGGGTGTTGCTGGTTCTACCTGCTCGAAAAATTAGGAAGGTCTGCCAGGAGTTGCTATTTATGAGCTTATATGAGACAGGTGAACGCTGATCTGCTGCTGAGATCTGCTTGAACAGGAAAAGCAGTACAAATTACAAATAAACACCCTATTAATATGTTCTGATTGTCGAAAGAGCTTGTTAGTTATTTGGTTGAATGTTTAGAACCTCATACATGTCTGGCACAACGACCAACAGATTTAGATGTTTTGACTAAAGTAGGAAATGAATTTTATTTAGAAGGTTGTTTTGCAATGTTTGTTATACAGTTAGTTTAATGCGGTACTACTCATGGGTCTTAATTACGCGTTGAAATTTTTCGCAAGCTGTAGCTATCAACCGGATTAGCTGTAGCTTGCTTTTCACATACTTCACAAGTTTCTTTTGCTTTTCACTGGCATTCGCACGCCTTTTCTTTTAGTTTTTGTCACTGGCTTTCTTCCATAATTTACCACTATCGTAAACATCCACAATTCGTCAAATATTCAAAAAGGCAAAAACACGTCAAAAATTTGTCAAACATTCTAAAATTTCCGACGTTGCCAAATCAATTATACGTATGTTTACGAATTCACAATATCTACGTTTATCCATTTACGCACACCGGTCAAAAATGGGTTTATAGATACGTATACGTTTATTTTTGTTCGCACATCCTCGAATACGCAATTTAACGTATATTGTCACGGGAATGCACGTTTATTTGCGTATTGTTAAAGATGCGCACGATATGAAACGTTCACTTTTCTTTGTACCAATTTTTGGATGACGTGCGCAAGTCAAAAAACGTCTGAGTTTAGCATTCGCAGCAATACGCAAGGTTGATCAGGCAACACTGCAAATTGAGAGATTTTTGTACTAATGAGGGAAAAAAAAGGTTGTGTAAACTGTCGACCTTTGACAAATTTTTTACTTTATGAAAAAAATGTCGTAAAACAAGAAGAAACGGAGTGCAAATGCATCAGATAAGCAGAAAAAATTGCTCATGGACTATGTGAAAAGGAAAATGCAACTAATTAGCGGTAAACAAACGCAAAGTTATAAAATGAAGTCTGTAATTCGCAGTGCCGAGTGCCGGATGGATGTAAGGTTCCCAAAAATTCGATCAAATGTAAAACAAGATCTTTTGTTAATCGAAACAACTTAATAAATTGTTGATGGTTAAGCTCTATGAAGGGATCTCGATGGTAATGCTGGTTGTTTGGTCGATTTTCTTGGTCTGCAGACTGCAATTTCTATATTTCGTATTGCGAACATATTTATTAGTTCTTCCATTTTCAATAGTTTATATTTATCACGACAAGAACCCACAAGTGCCACAAAGTTCGCACACAAATACTGAACAAATAGACAGACGAAATAAAATAATAAAGGTCGATACAACCACAAATGCAGGTACGTCAGCGCATAGGCAACACATCGGCGAGTCTCTCGCCGCTCGCAGAAAAACGTATAAAAATGTGCGCATACGCAAAGATGCGAATACTCAGAAATGGGATTTCATAATTTTCGTACATTTACGTAGACTTTCTATAGTTACGAATGGTCAAAAATTGGCCCCCAGGCGATAATAACATAAATTGTTCTTAATTACTTACCGCTGATGTACGTGTATAGTAACCATTGTTTCAAATTGGGTTCTTTGCATTTTGCTTAAATCTTTGGAAGTTAGGTCAATAGTGAAGTAGAATGCAGGTCTACTTTTTGGCGCCAGTTTGCCATGTGCGCAAGTTTGTCAAAAATAGTTATTTACCTAACAAATGTGGAAAGTGATACTTTACCGCACGCAACGGCAGTTGACCGAACGACGCGGAGCGGAGTTCGGTCAAGCCGTTAAGTGCGGTAAAGGCACTTTCCGCATGTGTTAGGTACAAAATTTTACCTATGAGCATCTACATCTCCAAAAAAATCATTGATAAAATTAATTAATGAATCAGATTAATTATGAAATAAGATTAAATTTCGAAATTATCAAAAATCCATTTTCTGAAAAAGAAAGGAATTTTGATTATAAATATCAAATTCTACTTTACCGCACACTATGCGGTGAAGTGCACTTTACCGCACACTTTGTAGTCCACTTTACCGCATACTATGCTGTAAAGTTAACTTTACCGCACACTATGCTGTAAAGTTAACTTTACCGCATAGTGTGCGGTAAAGCGATACTTTCCATTTTCAAATACGTGCGGTAAACTGCACTTTACCGCACGTTCGTAGGTAAAAGTCCAAACGTTTTCACTAGTCGTTTTCAAAAAAATAATGGAAATGTCAAGTGAACTTCAAAAATGTAACATATTATTATAAAGTTTTTGGAAGTTTATGAAGAGCATCCCTGTTTGTGAAATCACAAACATTTGTGTTAGAAAGACAGGAATAAACGGGATGATGCTATAAGGATAAGTGCTGAGGTGATGGTAAATTATTTGATGCTTTTAGAGTTTTTCTGCGTGAAATCCATTGTCATGCCAGATCTTGTGTTTACGTCCCTTCTTCTTGTTTTTTCGTATCTTTCTGTAATTCTAGCAACAAAATTTTTACATCAACATTGAAACCTACTTGAACCTCTTAAGTTGACTCCATTTTTCATGACCAAGCCACCTGCTGGAGGCGCCAGGTTCAGGATAAGGTGGCTTTATCGGCTGTCATGGCCGAAAAGGTTAATTTTTCAAATCTATTTCTATCTATTATCTATCCATCTATTTTGGAGTACCTACGCAAATACATATTTCTATAGAGTCAAAATTGTGATCGGGAATTTGTTGCAAAACGAGCTAAACTAAATAAAATCGAATTATTAATTTTTCTTCGACTACATATCAAGAGTATTACCTAACATTATTCATTCAATCAATTATTTATTTTTGAAAAAGTTTCAATACAACTTTGTAACATTACTAAAGTGTTCTGCACTGGCTAAATTATTCAGAAGCCCATGTTTCCGAAATGTTTTATCAAACGAGGAGTTTCGCAGTAATTTCGAAGTTACTTCAGAAGTTTTGAAGCTAATCGCCTAAAACTGCACTTTTGGTATATTTTGTTTAATGAGAGATTACCCTTAAGAATCTCATCCCTTAGAATCCCATTTTTATTTTATTTTTCATTTGGTAAGGATTTTTATGATATTTCAACAGTATTTGCTCCACAGTAACAGCCACTCATATAAAAACTTGCAATAAATAATATTCTCACTAGAAATTTTTTTCAAGTAGCCCCGAAAGTTTTGCAGCTGGCTGGATCTGGTGAGAGAAAAGTAAAGTTTCTTTTGGAAACTTTCCCATTGAACCCAATATATTGCCAATTGCTGAGTTGGCACACAAGTCTTGGGTTCACTAACGATTTTACCTTTTTTTCAGGTCCCTTTGAAGTCCCAATAAAATGTCAGTGGGTAATAGACGCTAGCAATGTAGTTTCAGCAAACACATCGATTATTGTTTACTTCACACAGCTATTTACATTTGAAGGTAAGTTGAAAAAAAAAATTCTTTATTTTAAACGATTTCCGTCCCATACAGTGTGGCCCAAAATGTGCATACATTTATAGAAATAATAAAACCTGTAGGAGATAGAGAAAGAGAAACATTCAAACGGGTAAAGATCTACTTGAAAATAGAAACTATAAAATAAAATGACATAAAAAAAAAAAAAAACGATTAACGTCAAACGGTATAAGTAGCTGCAAAGCAGTTCGCTATTTTTACATAATATTTGGACAATCGATTCACCTTTTTCCATGAAAATTGAAATTTCACACTATTCACAAGTAAACAATATGTTTTTCATTGAACCAAAATAAAAATGATGTCAAGTTCAAAGATGCAATGTCATTACTCATAGTGTTCAAAATCTGGAAAAGATAAACATCAACCAGTGGCGATTATTTTAATGTAGGAAAACATTTAGGGCAGCGAACAGCACGTCAAACAAACTACTTAAACTTGATAAATAACTACCTACTCTATTAGAAACGTCAAAACAACTGGGATATTAAATTACTCGCTTTGATAAACCGTAAAAAGACTGAAAAGTGAATTGGTAACTTATCGTTACATTATCCATGGGAAATTTTGCATCCTTATTTGTTATCATCCTTGAATAAATAGAACAATTACTAAGCAAACATTTTTGTGCGCATGAGGCTTGCAATCTATTATTCTGTGTAATTTAATCTGATGCTCGCTTTTAATGATTCGTTCTGAAAGCACAGAATAACAAACTTAATTATTATCCGAAACAAATTTTGTTTACCGATATGCTCACTGAAAACTAAAGTAAAAATAATTATGTGAACAGAAGCTTTTTGATTAAATTTTTGGTCAATCTTCCATTGAGTATATTTGCGATTCGTTAGTTTCAAATTAATCTCGAATTGCTTCCTCTTATATTGATTCTTGTTCCTCTGATCCATGAGGTGAACTTCAATTTCACAAGTAAATTGAATAATAACAATCCTAAATACATAAGCGTATTTACTCTAGAACAAGTTCAATATTTTTGCACTAATCCAATGTATGATAGGTGGTATCCATGGATCATTGTGATCTATTGTCCTATTTCATGAGTTTGTTTGATGCGTTTAGCAATAATGCGCTCCGTCTGAAAATTTTAAAAGAAACGCGTAGAAGCATAGGAAGATGAAGGTTATCAGAACTTCTAAAAAAATATTCGCTTCCCTCATTAGAACTAATCGTGCGAAGTCCTAATTCTGTCTGCTCATAATTTAGTAGGTATAGGAACATTTATAGGAAGTTACATGCATTCCTCAGGAAGCTTACTATAGAAATAGCAAAGAAAGAAAGACAAATTTGGTCCATCCTAAATAATAAATACAACAAGATTATCAAAGTTTGAGACTGATACTACAAGGTGACGATGAAAGTAACTTCTATTGATCCATAGCACAGGGGTTTATCTAAAAGTAGTGATTTTTTCCAATATTTGGCTGTTCTACGTCAAAGATCTCCTTGACCGCGCTATTATCGACTTTCTGTCCACATACAAGACACGGATTATCACTCAAACGTTATCATTCCGTAAATTTTTCCCGATCCGCGCAAGTTCATGTAGTTCCGAAATCGGTACGCGCGTATGATATGTCATATAACTTTGTAAAATTGTGACATAGGTATAAATAGCATACACCGTGATTTACGTAGCTCATGCAAAGAGGTTTTCCAGTTTGCAGATGGATTAGTAGAAATAGCATCCAATTCACTTCCAAGTTAATCCACGGGCTACGTAAATCGCCTTGTATATCTACCTAAAATATCTATCTATCGGTTTATTTCCAATAATAATTGCTGATCAAAATATTAATAATCCTCCCTATTAATTGCAAATATTGATGCAAAACTCCCATTACACAAGCATATTATTAGATAATAACAGGCCTATGATGTATCCTGTCCTGTTATTTTAACAGTTGTGTTATAGCTCAAAATCTATACTTGTCTCTATTTTTACGTGTAGAATAAACAGTGACATAGGCCTGAATGATATAAGTTGGCTTAGTGATGTTATGCTTCTATAGTAATTTCAAGGAAATTAGATCAGGCTTTGGCAGGATTTATGTACTTTGTACTAATTGAGTAACATTTACATGCCAGTTGGTTCTGGGAGGATAGCACTTAAACTTAAGTAAATACAGTATTTGTTGTGCAGATGCCATTCGTTAGATTGCGGGGGTAAGATTTCGTGATTCTTGTCGTCCTGTGTTTAAAAGCCATGAAATATCTTATCAGTTTGATATTGAACTCTATTTATATCTGTTTATTTCGTACCTATTCATAATAATTGTCTCAAGTTTGAATATTGTATTTATGTATATTTATATTCTTGGACTTTCGCTTCGACAACGACATCTCTATGTTGTATAACAATAAAGCTCTATTTGAGTTGGATCCTTCCGTATATACGATGAGAAAATGTTCGAATATTATCTCTATGTTATTTTTCATCCCACAAAAAACTATTTTGTGATCTAAAAACGGCCACCGTCTTTTTCTACGTGCTACCAAAATATCCTCCTGGAAGAACAATAAAATCAGGACGTTTTATGTATTATATTATAAAACTGAGGTATAGTATGTAGGTACCTACGTCTTCCGGAACCGGCAGGAGAATACGTATACCTCGGGGATATGTCTAATTCAAGTATCGGACCTGATTTCTTCATGGATGAAATCCAAAATGCTCTAAATAGCCGAAGCGGTACACAGAAAAAACTGACGAATAATGAAAAAAGCAAGCCACTTGGTACAGATGATGTTTAGGTCCATTAGATCGATTTGACTAGCAGCACTTGCTTCCCCCACCCTGTGAAACCAATATGGCGGCCATTAAAGAAAAAAACGGTTATTTTTGAAGAAACAAACATATTTTCTACTTAAAAATTATTTTTTGGTATAAATTGAGTATGTTATAGTCAACACAAACATTTAAGATGTTCCCGAAAGTTTTTTGTTGATAAGTTTAGGCATCCTGGCGGCCATATTGTTTTTTTTGCATTTTCGAAAAATCTATTCTACTGTGCAAAAGGTGGCATGCGGCATATCATTTAAGGATAATTTGAGGTCACTGATTCTAAAGATGAGGTCAAAAATATGAAATTCAAAAGATTAAATTATTTTTGCAGTCATTTTAATCTTTAAAAACTTCAAATTTAGATATTTTTTAAACCAATCAGAAATCCTTAGTATTACATGCATTGATCAAATGCCTTCATCAGACTAACCTTAGGTTTGTGCATCCACCTCTACATTTCTTGCCTTGCAGTCAAGAGTGCATGGCAGATTGCTTCTTCGACAAATACAGGGCATCGTCTCACAGTCTTTAAGACAACCGCAACGGTCAATTTCTCTGCAATCCTGCTAGATGTTTGGCAAAGATGACCAAATAGGATTCCAGATATGCTCTGACCGCCTCCAACCCCACTCGTTTGGCTCTGGAGGTGCCTCTAGTTTATTAGACCTTTCGCAAATCAGTCCTGCTTGATATCCTGCTCTTAAACTGTGTTTAAGAGATGCAGATGTGGGGGGTAATAATTAGAGGGAGCGACTTTCAATACCTACCAAAACCAAAGCTGTATAAGTGTATACTGTATACTTCTTCAGAATCTCCAATATTTCATCGTCATTCGACGTAAATGGCGCCATTTACATTTTGCCCTAGTCACTACGATTTCAGCCGCTCGACTGCTTCGCGAGCAGTCGAACAGCAGCCGCTGCAGCGCCGGCTGCCGCCGCTTTAGTCGCGCTGCGCAAGCCAAATTGGTTCCATTTGAAACTGTAGAAACCAGTGCAGCGGCTGGAGACGCAGCTGCTAGCCGCCGCAGCCAGCCGCGTCACCGAAATCGCACCTTTGGGAGTAATTGATGTCTGGATTGTCTAGTGAGCAAAACCATCTCCAGACAGAACCATTCGCCCCCTTATTGTTGTTTGGGCCTGTCGAGACTCCAGGCTGTTCAGATAAGCCCTTATTTAACTATTCATTTTTCCGTATTTTTGAAATTGATTGCAAGGTTCACGTAGAACCTTATATAACCATACATTTTTCTTATTATTGAAATTTATTCGTCTATTCAGATAAGTCATTTTATAACTATATTTTTTCTTATTATTGAAATTTATTTGACTGCTCAGATAAACCATTATACATATAACTATACATTTTCCTATTATTGGAATTGATTTGAATGAAACGATTAATAATTGAAGTACTGCCATAAGGGAATTTAAAATAATATATTTAGGACCTCTAAGTTTAGGACCTTCTTGTAAGGCCTCTGTGATCACAAAGGTTAACGAGCGCAATTTCATAAAAACCAATCTAGTGTTAGTTGGAAAATTTATCCTTAGACAATTCCTAAATTCCACATAGTATTTCTAAACATATATATACAATTCTTTTACTCAGGAAAAGTAAATTATACCAATTACATTGTTTTATTCTATTAATATCAATATTGGTAGTTGAATACTAATTAAACAATAGCTGTCATTTTTTTTGTTATAAGTTTTTAATCAATCATATAAAATATAAATTGGAATCTTTCTAATGAAACTGTTCTTTTGGGTACTTATTGATTATTCGATTTCAGTTAACCTACTCATTAAAATTTATTAGAATTAGCTATTGAGCCTTACTAGGGATATTTTTCGAGATTCACGTGACCGGCTTCTCTACTTTTGAGTGTCCAAAGGGGACTAAGTCAAAGGTCACTGGCGCCATTTTTGAGATCAGATTATCGAATACTTGACTAGTACCACCTTCCCTTTAGTTCAGGTCCTTTTAGTTTTTAGTATTTTAGGGGTAGATTCATCCCCTAACGAGCCGTTTCAAGAGGCCCTTAACCACCTATACAATTTGTAGACTAGTATAGTGAATTGACTAGAAGCAAAACTGGACTATTATCAACCGCGAGAATAGGTGGCTTCCGATCCGCTTTCGGTACAAACTCCCACCT